CCTACAGCGCTGTCCAACCTAAGCCTAAAATACAGTGCATTGGCAGAAAGTTTTTGGACAGCGATGTTGACCCAGCAACAGCGCTGTCAGGCCAAACGTCCATCTTCAAGAGTCAGACCTAAACAGCGATGTTCAAGCTATAGACATCGATGTAGGGACCTGACCGTTGGAAGGAATTTAAGGCTAAAACTTTCCTTGTTTGGAAGTCAACAGCCAAAACAGCGATGTAGGGTTTTTTGGACATCGCTGTTGGCATGACCGTTGCTTCCCAATTTTTAAAAAACCAAGCCTAGAACAGCGATGTCCAGGCCTAGGACAGCGCTGTCTAGGTGATTTTCAGCAGATCCAATTTTAATCAAATCCCACAAATTGTGCCAATCACCCCTTAAATGTTTTGGTCCGTTGGAGCCTACTTTTCCACTATAAAATGGGGTGTTTGGGTCTGTTTTACATATCACATTACTTCACAACTTCTACTCTTTCATTGCAAATCATCCTTCAATTTTTCATAGCTTTTGAGAGCCATTTTTGTGAAGCTTGTGTTGTGTTCTTGAGCGTTCTTAGTTTACTCATTATTCACTCTTAAAGAGAGTATTGTTCTTGAGTGTTTTTAGTGTTCTTAGACACTTGACAAGAGAAAGTATTTCTCTTGTTGCTCGAAGGAAGGGCTGTTTCCTTCGAAGGTTCGTTGAGGTTCGTGTGACTCGAATTCTCAAGTTGTACGAGTTTGTTAAGCACCGTTAAGCTTAACGAGATAGTAGTGTAGCTCGAGAGAGTCTCTCGGGAGGCTGGATTAGCCACAAGTTGTGGTGAACCAGGGTAAAATTGGTGTGCCTCTTACTCTTCTCTTTACTTCTCGTTTATTCATTTTTTATTCCTGCGATTTTTGATCAAACGCTATTCACCCCCCCTCTAGCGTTGGTCTATTATTCTAACAATGGGGAATGCCGTTAAACCATTCCACTGGTCTCCCTCTCAAGGATGAAAAGAAGAGCAAGCATTCCTCAGCATCAGTGCATGCACCCGGCCATCTGTGCTGCATTGTGGAAGGTGTCAAGGTGGACATTTGGATCCTCCTTTCCAGTGAATTTCTCCACGTCCAGCTTGACCTTCCGTCTCAATTTTTGGGCATGTACCCTGGCCGAAAAGGGTGATTTGACCAGGGTATGCTTCTTAGTTCCCTCTTTCTCTTCTACTCTTTCCTCCAGGGCACGTAGCTTTCGTGCTACGCTCCCTATCTTGTCCAGATCATCCTCATCATATGAGAGCCTGGTGTACGCCGATGCCCTGGGCTGACTTTCGGCTTCCTCTTCATCTAGGTGAATCGTCTCAGATTCCCTAAAACGACGAGATGGGGCGGGACGACTCCCGCCAAGTCTTTCCATTGCGCTAGTCCGGCCCATCTCAGGACCAAGACGTAGCTTGACAGACTTGCGGGGTCCATCCTCTTTATCCCCTAGGCGTTTGAATGCCGAATCTCGGGTCTTGCTGGGTTTGGCTATAGCCTTACCCTTCCTCCTGCGGGCTACCTCCTGCTCTGCCTCATCAACCCCATGGACATTTGAGGGCGCTACCTCGTTCATGATCCCTGTCAAATTCACCGGGCGTACAGGGACCATCCTTGGAACGAGTGTTGATGGAATCGACACCGGAGGTGGCATAATTGGTGGCGTCATGCCATGATAGGCAAATGGCATGAAGCCCCCTACCTGTTGCATCATGGCCATCACCTGTTGATAGCCCTGTAGAGCCTGAGCATTTGCCGGGTCAGCAGCAAATTGAGCCCAGGTTGATGGGTATGGCGTGAAAGCTCCCCCAGGCGTTGTTATTGGGCCGGGGAACATCGTCGTCGCTGGCGTAGGAGTAGGGGTTGACATGATCGGGATCATCCCAATAGATCTTACCGTGGTGATCGGGGCGAATGTCGTCCCCATGCTCGTCATCATCAACGGGATGGCAGGGGTACTCTCACTCGCAGCCTGGCTCGAAATGACGTTGTGGTTGCTTGAAGACATGATTGTGGATATTTAGTGGGGGCAAAGTTTTGACCTGGTCGAAAAAACTTTAAAAATCGGTCCCACGGTTGGCGCCAAAAATGATGGTGTAAATATAGATGGGTGGGTTGACCGGGTTTGACTTGGACACACTCGACCCGTAATATAAAACACACAATAAGAACACAAAGTATGACCTAGACCGGGTAAACCTCCTCAGTCCGAAATATATTTCTTACTCTGTTTCAAGAGTGTACTAGTTTTAGTGAGAGAAAAGAATGGATCCCCTCCTCTATCCAATATCATCATATTTATAGAGGAGGATTTGTGACCTTCCCCTGTTCATCCATGGAAAAAATAGGAAACCCGGAGGAAGGTCACTGTACATAATCAATCTACTATTCAATCAATGAATTTAGCAACTACAAGCCAAGACATGTACTGTTCAATCAAAGATCATAACATGGATATTCTCAATCCAATCGACCCTGCAAAATGACAAACATTTCTTTTACTGTTTGCCTCGTGATGGACGAACGGCGGGGTGGTCCCTTGGCCTCTGACGTTGATTGCCATTCTCAAATAGTGCAACATGACCGATCACCTTTTCTCGAAGGTTACCCGGTCACTTCTTGAGTTCAACCCATCTCTTTGGTCCTCTGGAATACCCTTCGTAACATAGATGGATGAATTGGCTATCGCCCAAAATGTGACCGGTCACTTTTTTAGAGGAAGTGACTGGTCAACTTTTGACCCGTCCCAATCGAAGAGTTAACCTCATTTGGTGATTCATAAAAGTGACCGGTCATATTTTGACCTGTCCCTTTCGGTTATCCGGGTCGGGTATAAGGATATACCCATCAGATTTGGTTTTTTCGGTCTTCCCGGTTCGGTCTATGTGATTTTGGTCCGGTCCGGTCCAAAACCAAGATTATTTAGGTCCGGTCTTCAGTCTAAATTTCGGCATATTTCAGTCTTCTATTTGGTCCGGTTCGATCCGGTCCTGTCTGGACAGATGAACACCCTTGTATTCACGGAGTAAAAACGACCCAGATTGACACGACGCCAACAAGTTCTTCCTGTCATTTTGCTCTCTCCACATTCCAAATTTCTGTCGCCGATAATCCAAACATCCAAAATACAAATCCTTTGATCCCTATACTTGTTTTGTATCTTCCCTAACGTAATCGGCCACCGCCCAATCTCCCCAATCTCTATAGCTGTCTTGCCAGGATTCCACACTGTCTCTACGTGTATTCATAGATCGCCGTCGCACTTTGCACCCATTAGTCCGAACTTGTATGGACACATATTTTCCCGAAGAACAATTGTCTGATCAGAATTAGCAAAGGGGACATTGTTTATCGGTTATTGGAGCGGTTTTAGGGCTTCTTGGATCGTTTTCTTCTTGGGTAACCGTTCTCTATCTTCAATCCGCTCTGTATTTGAGGAAGTTGCTTCGTCTTCTGCTCCTCAATTGCACGGGTCCGCATTGATTGTTGGGATTGCGTTGTTTCGGAAACCCTAGGTTCTGGGAGTCTCTAGGGTTTTCTAATTGCTCTCCACAGAGTTCAACAATTGTTGAGAGACAGAAAGGGGTTTCTGCTTTCCGTTAGAATTTCTCATTTGCTTGCAGAATGGGTTTTCTTTTTTGTTTTTGTTTTGTAATGTTGAAGTCAGACTGAAATGAGACTGCTGAATCTGCTGTGTTTAGCCGGAAACCTTCTGCTTTCCCTACTAGAGATGAAGGGAGAGGCCTTCACATCAAAACGTGTTCTTGAGTTTGAGCTATTGGGTAGTTGATGACACATTTCAATTTTTGGTATTTATGAAATGCAACTTGCCTTGCAAACTTTTGTTAGGTTAGCCAGTTGACGCAATATTGTCCCTGGAATAACGGTAGGGAAATGTTTGTGGAGAATTGACGAAAGAACAAGAACCTCTATTCTATTGTAGTGTACAAACGTGGTTATTGGCTTGATACAGTATATGAGTGGCATTTTTTACCGCTGAACCTGCAATAATACATTGAGAAGTGTCACCAAAATAGTCTCGTTTTCCCTATTTGATTGGGTTGGGGACTGGTCACTTGACCTGAGTGTGTCTGGAGAAATGCTGCTCCATTGGGAACTGAACTTGCTCTGAAAGGAACAGTGACAAGTCTGTATGTAGAAGAATCTGATGGTGTTCTGTGCTGATGGAAAGGAGCGAACCCACATTAGTTCCTGAATGGTTGAGAAGTTCTGGAAATATAAATGGGGCTGGAAGCTCTGGCCGCCATTTCCATTCAGGTACTGGTTGAATGATGTTTCCTCTTTTCCCCTCATATTTTGGATGCATGCCTTCATTATATTTGTAGTAATTGTCAGTTTTCTGCCATTATTTTATTTTCTGCAGGCATATCCTCAAGAACAAGAAATAGATCTACTAGGAGCTTGAATGACAAAGATAGCACACACTATTTTTCCTTAGACCGAAGTTCATCATTAAATTCTAGGCGCGGTATAAATAGTAGTGCTTCTAAGAATCCATATAGTAGTTTCACTCGAAACCACCGTGATAAAAACCGTGACAAGGAGAAGGAAAGGTCATCTATTTTGGAACTATGGGACTCTAACTCATCCGATCCTTTTGGGAGCGTAGTAGCTAGTAGGGTTGATAAGAATAATTTGAGGCGTTCTCAACCACTTGCTTCCAGGAGATATGGTGAACTTGTATCTCAAAGAGCAGAAGACAAGAAAAATAGCAGGAACAACATTTTGAATAGTTCCAATTGTGTGCTCTCTGGTTGCAACAATCTTAATGGAATTCAAAAAGCTACTTTTGAGAAGGACTTTCCCTCTCTTGGAACTGAAGAGAAGCAAGTGGTCAGAGTCCCTTCTCCAGGATTGAGCTCTGCTGCTCAGAGTTTACCAATTTCCAATTCACATTTGCTTGGTGGTGAGAAATGGACCTCAGCATTGGCTGAAGTTCCTGCTATAATTGGCATCAATGGTGTGAAAAATTTATCATCCCAGCAGTCTGGCTCTGTAACTCTTTCATCCGGAACTTCAGGTGCAAATAATAGTCTTAATATGGCGGAGGCTTTGTCTCAAGGTCCACCACGAGCTCATACCACATCCCAGGTAACCAAGTTACTTTTGTATCCTATTCAGAACTTTTATTACTTAGCCATACAATCCTTTAAATCACATCATGATGTACTTTTGTATGTTAAATGTCTGCAGCTCCCTGATAAAATACATCGACTTGAGGAATTAGCCCTGAAGCAGTCCAGACAATTGATACCTGTGACTCCCACAATGCCTAAAGCACTGGTATGACAGCTCTCCCAGACATGCATGCAGATATAAATGTACTTGTGTGTGTATATGTGGTTGTACAATATGCAGTAATTGAAAACTTGATAAATGCTCTAGGATGCTGCTTTTAAAAATGGATCATTTGCACTTGTTATTATTGGAAGTTTTTATTAGTGTGTGTCTGCTCAATTTCTTTCTTTGGAGTTTATTGCTATAATTTTGTTGGTAGATCTTGAAAACGAAGAGGGCAGTAGAATTTTTGTATTCTTTGATTATAAGAAGTTAACACCTGAACTACTAGTACTATATACTACGTAGTAACTAGGAACATAACATCCCTGTTTTGAAACAACTTATTTTATACTAATATACTCCATCTGTCCTGATGTTTTTCTGTGCTTTTCCTCTTGGCACATGGTCCAAGGAGAAGGGAATAAGACTAAGAGGAAGAAGTGATCACTAAACCATTACTTTACAGAAGGTTGCTGTCTTTTCTTTTCTTTTGCTCGAATTGCTGCCATTTCTTTTCTTTTTTTTTTTCTGTTTTGTTTTGAATTAGAGCCCAATGCTCCCTCCGCCTCATAGATTCTTCTGATAATATTCAAATCTTCCATTTCTTTTCTGTATTTTGTTTTGAATCTGAGCCTAAGATGTGCATAGGGCTTCTGTGCGACCTTTCCAATTTATGTATGCAGACTTATTCCAACTTCCAATCCTTCTGATCTACTAGTATGACATCAATCTGCTGTCGACAGTCAACCACAATGCGGAGTTGCTGCTAAGCGCCATAGTTGTGAATGGCGAATGGCGAGTGGCGGGTGAGAGGTTCTTTTTTATGGCGAGAAGCGTGGCGAGCGGCGGGCGGTCAAATGGCGAAAATTATATATATATATATATATATATATATATATATATATATATATATATATATATATATATATAGTTTAAGTCTAAACTTTTAGTCTTAACTTTGCATCAAACATAATTATCAAAGTAAAACATGAGTTATTGGTAAAACAAAAAACAAAATATAGTACAGTACTTAAAAAGAACGCAACATATTTAATCATAATCCTCCTACGCCAAAACAATAAGAAAACAAATAAAAGTCTGAGCCGGCTCTGAGTCTGCGAAGAAGTGCGCTGTTTGGCTTCGGGAGAGAGACGAGGGTCTGCGCCGGCTGAGGAGAAGTTGAGGAGGGCAGGAGGCTGAGTCGGCAAGGAGAATTTCGATCGACGGCGAGATGGCAGAGGGTCGATCGAGTACTGATGTAGGTCAGGTCAGTGCGTTTTTTAAAAAAAAAGTCAAGAAAAACCCTTGACCTGCGTCTGGCGTAGATGGCGAACGCCTTTCACCACAGTGTTTGGCGTCCATGGCGACCGCCTATGGCGAGATTGGCGTAAAATGCCTCGCCAGTGGTGAGACTTGAGAGAAGTGTTGCTCATGGCATACCTGGATCTGTTACTTCCTACGAGTCTTGCAGTGGCTTTCTCTTCATTGTGGCGTCTTGAGCTTTTCAAGTATGATACCTAAATGTTGGTCTTTTGCGTGTGTATGCAGTTTAATCTTCACCACCATTCTACTTTTTATAACCAGTCAAGGATAGGATGTTGTATGAATATGGGCATTATATTATCCAGCCTAGCCATTTACACATTGTCGTTGATCGATGGTTTACAG